TTATTGTGTAAGATAATATGTGCCTGTTTCGGGTTAAGCGGCTTTAAAGTTATAAAAAGCGGGTTGCTTTTTATTTTCTTGATTTTCAGCTTATCACATTCATGTTCAATTTACTGTTATCATAATTATTACTTAATGTATAACAGGCTTATGTTTGTTTTAAAAACAATTTCCACTTGTTTCCATTCTAAATGACCCCGTTTTGATATTCATGGAAAAAAACTTACAGACTAAGAAAGAATTAAGTTTATGATGCAGCATTTTTGAGATAATTTTTTAAAATTTATTTTCAAAATAAACTTGTTTTTATATAATCGTACGGTGGAAGATAATTCCTGTTGATTATATAAAAATTATTATTATAATAATTACTATGCGAATGGTGCTCATAACAAATCACAGAGCGAATCTTTGTCATAAAATGAAAAGATTTCCTATGGAAATTTGACAGTGGTAGGGATAAGCTTTATGTTGCAGTTGTTGGTACATGTACAAGTCCTTTTCCTGAATTATATTGTCTGGAATATTATTTCGATTTACACCAACGATTTTTGTCGTTCAATCCAGGTATTACTTAATGTTCTTTTGCTTTCCGAAGCTTTTACAGTGGTTTCCGAAAATAAGCTATATATTTTAATTCAATTATTGATATTAAATCTACCTTTCAACGTCCGAAACAGTCCTTTATGGCTTTAGAATGTCGATTTAAATGATTCCCATTTCGATCAACGTCCCTAACCACGGACGACCTTTGGAACCTTTGAAAGATAAAAATATCAAAAATAGGAGTATGTTTAGTTATCCGATACAATTTTGAAGATGCGTAAAGAAATAGAATAAAAGAAATAATACTGGGTATTCCAAGTTAGCGACAAAAAAGCGGAGGCATAATCGAAGGTTTTTACAATTCATGGATCTTTAACTCTGTTTTATCTATCAACATTTTTTCAAGCAGAAAATTACATTTCTGCAGCAATATATGTCACATACTGCATAAAATCTTTTTTTCACAATTACTACTAAATATCCAAAAAGTATTGAACAAAGTTTGTGAAAGGAATGAAATGTGAAAAGACATTTAATGGAGTGAAAATGTGAAGTACAATTATAAACGGCGCTAGGCATGGAAAAAAATAGCAAGAAACGCTGAAAATAAAACGATATTAGCACAATCATACAATGCTAATAGACCATAGTCCCGATGTAAGCAAGTTTTCATTTTAATCATTATTCACCTTGTGCAAGTTAATATCATAGGTACAACTATTGCCAATCCCACTGTAGTATCGCCAACAGACTTTTATTTATCTAATCACTCTCTGACGGACCTGGAAATATTTCAGATATTTTTTTTTTAAATCAATAACATAAAAACTGCTTTTTCCATCTAGAGAACTTTTTTTAATGTTGTTGAATACATGAGTACTCGGGATAAATCCTCTTTTCACAAAATAACAAGGTTTTTTTGTGACCTTCATTGTATGATAAGTAACCTCACACTAATGTTAAATGCCTTTTTCTGAATAATCTAAATAAGAACTGCACACTTCAGCTCAACTTTTGTAGAGAAGTCATGTTTTCGTTTTTTGTTTCGTAACCGGTACTTGATGTATTCTAAGGAATCCATATTTCATGTTTTGGAAGTAACCACTAGGTTATGTTTTGGAAGTAACCTTAATGTTTTCTAAGTAAACCCTAGTCCCTTTTTTGTAATTAATCGATACTTGATGTATTGTGAGGAAACCTTATTTTATGTTTGGAAAGTAACCCCTATAGTTAATATTTTCTAAGTAAACCGTAGTTTGTCTTTTTTGTAAGTAACCCTGCTTGGTGTTTTCTAAGCGAACCATTGTTAACGTTTTGTGTTTTCAAATATCTGAATTTTTTTGGAATAGATTTGAAATTGTTAAATACAATTTTTAACTATGAGTAAAATTTGAGAGCCACTATAAAAATGTCCACTTAGACATGATCCGGAGGTCCGGGTTCAGGTCTGGTTTACCGCACCGCGTCCAACTAAAGACATAATCACTGGAAGTGCCTTTCCCGGATATCGAAGTGAAACTCACGAATCTCCCGGATTGGGTAAAAATAAAAGGATAGATCCAATTTTACAGTACATATAGGTGATACGTAATAGCAGAAATACAAGTGTAGGTTTGACGTTTACTAGTCTTTGTAAATAAAAATCCTGCTATTAAGTGTGCCAATACATAGCATTTGTACAAAATTATACGTATTTATCTGCAAAATGCATCGATTAGTTAATTTTTCAAAAAGTGACAATTTAAATGCGTAATTTACATATAGGAAGAGGACGTAATAATTTTTTTTAAAATCTTGTATACCAATTCCTTTGTGATTAAATTACAATGAAATATGTTCAAATCAAAACAAGCGAAAAACAAGATGCCAACAAGATAATAAGTTTTGTAGAAGTTTTGAACTATTATAAATATCAACAACATCAACACAAAAAACGTAATACTTTTATAATTTTTTCACTGGTGATAAAATAAATCTTCATTTAACTTTAATATAAATAAATCAGAAAAATGAAAATGGTGCACCCCTGAATTGAAATTTAAATGCCTTTGAGACATTATTTCACGGTTAGAAAACTTTTTTGAAATATCTGCTATATATAAGATACTATTTTAAATTTAAAATATTTTCGAGCACTGGTTGCTGCGAGAGAAGCACTCGGGTGGCATTTGTTAGAGGAAGGTAGGGGCCTCAAAAGCATTTTACAATATTTATATATACTTATTGATAATGTAAATAAATCTTATTTGGTAATTTTGTTTTGTAGAAAAAAACCCTTGCAATTAACGTTTTCATACGGATAAATCTCTTAATGAATTGAAAAGCATTCATGTTAAAGGGAATTTATAGATCAAGAATAAAACTTAAATGTTAATAAATCAACATATCAGTTTATTAAATATTCAAGAGCATGCTTTACGCATGAAAGATTTTTAAAACCAGATAAGTGATTGACACTCAAGTTGCTGAAACAATAATATCAGCAGTCTCGTTTAATCTCATCATTTCAAAAGTTCTGTGGTCGATACAATGAACTTGTCAACAATACAATTAATCAGTAAGTCAAATGCTGACTGGTGGTTTTTATACTTATTGTTTAACATTATATTCACACTGAATTATCGGCAGATTTTTCAGTTATTTACCGATTATGACACAGAGCACACGGCGGGTGTGACCGGTCGGCAGGGATGCTCACAACTCCATTGCACCTAATATCACCTCTGATGTTTTGGAGGTCCGTATTTGATTTTCTCCAATTGTGTATTGTTTGATCGACTTTAAAGCTTGAATGAAACATATGGAGATAACGAACAGTAATCAAGATCAAAAATCCATAAAACAATACAAAATAGGAGCAAAGCAAACATGGACCTCCAAAACATCAGAGGTAGGATCAGGTGCCATGGAGTAGTGAGTATTCCTGCTGACCTGATCTTTTTCTCTATAATTTCATTCAATAAGCAGGGCCTGTCGACTTAAAAATAATTCTCATATCCTATATTTCTTATATTAGTTAATGAACTCCACATAAACTTCCCCTACCTGAGAACATTGACAGTGACGTCAACACGTAACCCAAAACTTCTTGAATTATTATCGGTACTTGCGGATATTGATATTTTAGAATTCTTAATTGCCTTCCTTGACACGGACCTCAGTTTTCACATTCAAAATACTCTAACTTTTCCCTTCTATGGCCGATACAATGACCTCGTCAGCAAATACAATCTATGATTAAGTCAAATGTTGACTTGAGTTTTTCAAAATGTTAGCCCATTAATTACGAACTGAAATGTGAAAGTATATTTCTAATCATTTTTCGACAATGACAATTAGCACAGGATGAGTGTGGCCTATCGACAATAGATACAAACTACTCCAAGGCACCTGATCCCACCTCTGATTATTTTAAGATCCATGTTTGCTTTGCGCTTCATTTGTTTTGAATGTATGGAGGTGTGAGCTTACTGTTCGTTATCTCTATATATTTTATTTTAATGCCGAGCACTTGGCACAGGAACCGTCACTTCCTGTACGAAAATTTACGTCCTGACCGGTAACACTAAGGTTACGTTTGATAACCTGAATTAAACGCCCTATTTCTTGAGTATCTTGACCTGATTTTTGCAGAATTTTTTTTTTTGATAAAAGATGTACAAAAAATCCCAGAGGTTTATTGCTGACAACTCTTTTCCATTCATTCATTCATTCGTTTCAAATGTTTTATGCCTGGTAATATTTAAATAAAAGTATGACAGAATTATTTGTAAGACTGCATCAACGGAGCACAAAATGTCCTTTGAAGTCTCTTTAGTTAATATATCAAAATACCCTTGTTATATATGTACATCTATAAAATATTTCACACTTGGGTCATTGAATTCAGCATATGCAGTTTAAATCAGAATCTATTACGATCCCCGTGGGAGTTTTTCACTCCTTTTAGACACTCCGCTCACCGGTGAAGGTCTCGTTGATTGGTCGATTGTCAAATTTAAAGATACATTTAACTGTTCCTCTACAAAATTATTCAATTCATACGAGACGTCATTTCATGACTTTATTCCTCCTTCGAGATCATTGAGCGAGTTTTCATCAGCTTGTCTATATGGGGCCTGCCCTTTTAAAGTATTTACATATGATCAACAAAGAGTTGATCGTAAACCCGGGAAAAGTTTTAAGCCCTGTTTACAGTTTTCTATTTTCGCAGACTTTGTTAAGATTTATCACTGTTCATTATCACCCCCAACACCCCCAATGCCCCCCCCCCCTTTAAAAAAAAATATACATGGATACTAGTAAATTGGCAAATAATCCGCAAACTGACTCGAGCTCTTTCACAGTGTTGGTTTTTTTTTTTACTTTATTTGGAGCTTTGAATCATCTTTCTTACACACTAGAAATTATACTTCTATAAGAATATTCTATTGTTATTGCAGTGATCCTTGTGATTATCATAAAAATGAGCACCATGACGGACTATGACGAGGCGTCGAGGACGTACGACTCCGTCAGGAGGGCCCCAGACGCGCACCTGATCAAAAGTCTGATGGAAAACTTCACCGGAAAGTCTCTGGAGGCAAGATTGGTTTGATAAGACAAAATTGAATTATACATGTATCTGTTCACAGAAATGTGAACATAACTAACAATAGTAGAAAAAGTTACGTTTACGATGGAAGGTCAATTACAATGAAACTGGAAGCAAGGGTGAAAAACAATAAGTCATATAAAAACGAATTGTTATTTGTCTTTTCGTTTTGCAGTGTCTCTTAGCTTTCTTCAGCAAGTAGGTTTTATATTCGTGTCCAGTGTATGATCAGTCTTTTGAAAAAGGAACTGAACAACAGGACCTTGCTGTTGAAGCAAATTAAGTATAAAGTGTAAACCTTTCCTAACTTTTGTCACGATAACTGGGGTTTTCGCATTTTTTAAGGCAAACCTTATTTTATTATCAATAAAAATAATGTATCCATGTTTCATCATCTATTACTTTACAAAAAAGAGAACTTATTGAGACGGTACTATCGGTGTACTTGTCGGTGGAGAGCTGCAAATTTAGACCTTTATTCGACACTCGGGGCCATTGAACAGCAAGGGATCTTTTTTGTGCTTATACCGACTGCACGGGACCTCGGTTTATACGGTCTCATCCTAAGGAGCGGTCTCCATGCCCCGCAGTAGTTTTGAATCCGTTACTAATTTCACTTTTTATTTTAATCAAGGACATGGATATTATTGACATCGGCTGTGGGACCGGAAACTACTCGAAATATTTCCTCCAGTTCCAACCAAAAAGCCTCTCCCTGATGGACGCCAGCGTGGGTATGCTAAATAACGCTAAAGCCAAGTTAACAGCAGCGTGTAGGACGCAGATATCTTTCAAACAAGCAGTTCTACCAGAAATTCCATTCAAAGACAATTCCTTTGATGCTGGGATGATAAACCATGTACGTCTGAGGTTTTTAAAAAATGCTTTTATTAATATTATTGCTCTTTTAGGTCTGGAAAACGCAAACACAGTTTCATTTGCTTTTGTAGATTGTGTGATTTCGCCAGTCTAATTTTGTGACTTTCTATTCCTTCAAATGTTATTCAATTTTTATTCTATTTAACCCGAAGTTGTACAGAAAAACTAAAATAACGCTCTGAGAAGCTCAGAGATAAAGCAATATTTCTGAAACAAAAATTAAAAAAATACGGTTTGTAATTCTATTGCTTTAATTTTCTTTGTTTTTAATCTAGGTCTTGCATCATGTAGAGGTAAACCCTGATGGAAAATCATTCCCAGGCTTTGTTCAAACACTGAAGGAGGCCCATCGCATTCTGAAACCAGGCGGGGTCCTAACCATTATTGCTGATACACCAGAAAATATTGATGGCCATTGGTTCACAAGTCTGGTTCCAGAAACTACAAAAAGACTACAGAAGAGGCTACCTACTCATAAACAAATAAAGCAAATGCTTGAAGATTCTGGCTTCTCACTGAAGTCGACATATAAACCATTAATGGCATCGTATCTACCAAACTATGACAACATAGAGGGCCCTCTGTCTGAATCCTGGAGAGGCGTTAACTCTTTTTGGTCACTCTGCACGGAGTCGGAAATTCAAAATATGATACGAAACGTGACGCAAATGAAGAATGAGGGAACTCTCCAAGCATACTACGAGAAGCATGATCGAATTTATTCTGTCGGAGCTTATGAAATATTTGCAGGAAAGAAAATATAAATATGTATTATGCAAATATTGCAGGAAAATTAAACAAAACACAGGAAATAATTGTATGTTTTTTTCATGTAACGGATGCTAAATAAAGCTACTCCTTTGAAATGGGATGTTGTCTATATAATGCAAGGAAAAGGTATCAGAGATTGGAATATAATACTACACATAAAGAAGAAAAACACGAAAAATCTCAATAAAGCTGAGTTGTACAATTAACACAAGTTACAATGAAATCTTGTTTGAAAAATGCATTTGACTTAACCCTTTAACGGCCGGAGATTTTGCTATTTTTCCGCATAATTGCCTTTAAAAGTTCAAATAGAATTTTAGACATTTTCTAGTCACTTTTACATAGAGCAACCTATATATTTTCTGAAAGGTAAGATCCTAAAATATTTGATTATGCAGAGTAATTTGACGTCACGGTTGCCATGGCAACGATTGAGACCCATGATTGCCAAAATATGTGCTTTTCTCCCTTTATTCGTCCTTGAAATACAAACAATTTTACAAATAATGTTTCCAAACCAGAGGATTTGGTGTTACTATTAAAACAAAGCATGCATTCAATTAGTTTTTAATTTTAATGGTCAATTTTATTAAATAGAAAGAGTTTATACAATTACACAATGTCAGTACCTCATCCGTTCGACTTCGGCTTTACAACTGTCTGATTGTCGTAAGCAATTTTTGAATCGCTCTCCCTCCTACAGTTTTTACTGACTTCAGTAAAATTTGGTACACATGTGGAGCATACAAAGATGCACATTTTTAAAAAAAATTTAGTATTTTTATTTCAAGGAACAGTGTGTGTTGCCATGATTACAAAAATAGCAATTTTCAGAAAGCATGCATGGGTATTATATATTTATTTACTTTCAGTAGAGTGTTATCAATGAATAAAATTACCTGCCTAGTTCCAGCGATCTGCATATAAAAATTCACAATACCCTGTTATGTACTCGAACATGCAATATCATTAGTATATATCATTAAGTTTTATATGAATGGCATGGGGAGAGTATGACAAAGAACTATGCACATTAACTCTCGATTCCAGCCTACATTTTACATAAACACCTTCTATTCAATAAAAATGACATTATGCCATTAATTTTTTTTAATTACAAACATGACTTAAAAGTGAATGAATCATACTATTAATACCAGTGTCAAATTTTCAATTGCTCTTAATCACAACTCTTTGTATAAGGGTGAAGGGGGTGGGGTGGGGCTATAAGATATATGTCCACTGTAATTAAGTTTAAACATCACCAGATTTAAAAAATAGTTTTCAAATTTTCATTTCTCATGGATATGGATATTATTTTCAGTTTTCACTTTACTTCACTAAAGTAAAAAAATTTTATCTGTACACATACCCCCAGCTGTTTGTCTACTTTTACCACATCCAATTCTATTCGAATTGGAGGCTTTTATCGAAGAAAGTGTTGATTTCCCATATATAATACAAGCTTTAGATCCGCCTATAATCCCTACAATCAATTAGAGTTATTCCCCCTGAGTCAACTTCCGTTAATCCCTTTTCAATCAAAGAATCAATGAATGAGGTTGGTGCAATTTTAAAGGTCAATTTTTTGTAAAATTAGATATTTAAAAAAATAGTTAATGGCTATTATACATATGGATGTTTTTGTTATCTATTCGGTAGTTGTTTGCTGCAATCAATTTAAGTGTATTTATTCATGATTTCCCGATGATCCTTGATTTTATCATGCCAATTTTTTCTAGCGTCTGTTGTGGCCATTTTGCATAAAATTTGCCGACCACTAAATAAATAACTTTTCATTAAACAGATTATATCATGTAAGTATGTGATACGATATAAGGATTGCTAAGTCATTAATCTCGATCGTTAGGATTTATATCGTAGTGCTTTGGTTTATATTAAATTTTCTTTGTTTTACAAATTGATCAGACACGTTTCTATATCAAGGGGAGATAAAAAAAAAAAAAAAAAAAAAAAAAAAATATATATATATATATATATATATATATATATATATATATATATATATATATATATATATATATATATATATATATATAAGAATAGATTAGCATGTAAGAATTAACAGTTGATGAATTTCAATTTCTTTTCTAAGAAATAAAAAATAGAATAAAATAAATAAATAAAAATATACAATATATAAATAAAAAATTAATTAATTTTCTTTTCTGTTTCTTGCAATCAACGTACACGATGCCACCGAGAGCTAAGAAGCGCAGAATGGCTCAACCATCAGCGACTGTCTCACAGCAGCCACGAAGTAGTAGTCAGGCTACAGTGAATTCCCAGACGTACTCGTCGTCGGTGTCGGCAGGATGTCCAGTACCAATACCACCGGCCCAGGCTCCAGCAAATTCTTCTGTAGCGGAAGCTCAACCAATGTTGACAAGAAGTTCAGGGCAATCCCTTGCACTGCCTACGCCTGGAACACTGATTTCAACTTCAGCAGATGTGGGCACCACCCCTGTTTCTGTCCCATCAGTACATATGATTGGTACGAATGTTTCTAGCACAATCAAGCAACGTATTATTGGGGGGCAGTATATTGATTTGGCCACATTGGTAACACCAAAATCGGGGTCTGATGAAAAGAAATTAGTTATAAATAGTATGGGGGAGATAATTTCTAAAGATCTCAACTCAAAAAAGGTAGAAAACATAGAGCAATGGACTGATCTTATGCTCATATTTGCAAGCGTGTACTTGAGTGCACATCCCGCCAAGACCCTTGACCTGTTTAAGTACATACAGACCGTAAGAATGGGTGTTAGCAGGGGGGCTATATCTTGGAAAGAATATGATACTCAGTTTAGGCTGCGTAAGGAGCAAAATCCTTCATCATCATGGGGCGAAGTTGACTCAGAATTATGGTTAATGTACATGCATTCTGGCCCTGCTTATAACGTGACAAATGAACCCAAAACAAATAATGGTAAATGTTACAATTTCAATTTCAAGGGGTCCTGCGACAAATTTCCATGCACGTATAAGCACAGCTGTCTTCGCTGTGGCAGTAACCATCCACTGATACATTGTATTACTAGTGTACAAGCCCCAAACACTGGGTCTGCACAAACATTTCGCCAACAAAATTCAAATGGTCAATTCTTTGGACAGTCAGGTTTCCGTACACAAACCACCAATGCAAATACCAACTACATGTATAAAGGGTATTCCACCAATGCAAATACCAACTATAAGGGGTATTCCAACAGCAACACTCAGCGCCAAACCTACTCAAGACCAAGATTCCGCAGTCCGCAATCTATGGCGTCTAGGTTCAACTCTTATTAATTCACACGCCCTTAAAAAATGTCTCGTCCACTATCCTTACAAAATTGTAGCAAATCGGCTAATTCAAGGATTCTCTCAAGGGTTTAAACTCCATTATCATGGGCCCAGATTGAAAGAAATTGAAATGGGGAGGATACAGGGTCCCTTCACGCAAATACCAATTTCTAATCTTAGGTTATCTCCAATTGGGTTAGTGCCTAAGGGGGATAATTCGGGCTGGCGTCTAATAACTCACCTCTCTTTTCCGAAGTTTAGTAGTGTGAATTCCTACATAGATCCCTGTGAGACTGCTGTACAATATTCATCCTTTGATTCAGTAATTCAGATGATTGCTAAATTAGGGAAGGGGGCTTTCATAGGTGAGCGGGACATAAAATCGGCATTTCGACTTCTCCCAATATTTCCCGGCGATTTTGATCTTCTTGGTTTTAAATTTCAGGGTAATTATTTCATAGACAAATGTTTACCTATGGGATGTTCCATTTCGTGTAAGGTTTTCGAGGAATTTTCTACATTTTTGCAGTGGGCTACGATACAGCGATCTAAAACATCAACAATTGATCACTATCTTGATGATTTTATATTTGCTGGGAGGGATGCCCATTCTTGTCAAGAACTTATGTCGAATTTTCAAGGCGTCTGTGATGAAATAGGTGTTCCCATTGCCGAGGACAAATCTGAAGGCCCTACTATGGTTATGACGTTTTTAGGTTTTGAGATAGATACTTATCATATGTTAGTTAAGATCCCCAATTCAAAATGCGTGGAGCTACTGGGTATTTTACACCATCTCGTCGTTCAACGCAAGACAACACTCCAACAAATACTATCTGTTTTAGGTAAATTGAATTTCTTTACAAGAGCCATAAGACCAGGTAGGGCATTTCTGCGTCGGCTTTATAATGCTACAATAGGAATTTCAGAATTACATTATCGCATAAGGATAACTCAGTCAATGCGGCAGGACTTGTACATGTGGATTAGTTTTCTTGAGTCATTTAATTAATGGGACTGTGTATTTTTTAGATAATGAGTGGACGTCAGACAACATTAATTTTTATACAGATAGTTCTGGTTCGTCTTACTTAGGTTGTGGTGCTTATTTCAATGGGGAATGGTGTTTTTACCCTTGGCCAGAAACTTGGGCGTCCAATGAAGTACTTAGAGACATGACCCTTTTAGAGTTAGTTCCGGTGGTCTTGGCTATTTATTTATGGGGTAACAAACTAGCTAATGTAGCGCAGGCCGAGCTGCGGGGAAGTCGGCTTATACTGCCGAGTGTCTACATATTTATTGTCCGAGCGGTTTTTCCCTTAAGTTCCAACTTTCCTTAGTATTGTGCTGAATGATAAGTCCGTATTGAAGTTCACTAATTTATTTACATGTCTACACACAATATTTACACACACACATAGTCCACATTTCACAGTAGAAATAATAGTAAAATAATCCAAATGAAAATACAGTATATAAAATCCTAAAATCCCGTAATCCAGTATAAATCCATTCTGAATCAATTCTATCAAAATCCTATAGCATCACTAACTTCAACTATCTCTATAGAATAACTTTTCTTCAACTCTCTAAACACAAAACTACAACAACTAAACTTCATCTACTCTACTAAATGATCAAAATGCGCTCATTTATATAGTAAACTGAGCCTCCACAATGTGGGGAGTGAAAATTCTACCTCCTCTAAGTGGGGAGGCAATACATAAAATTATACAAGGACCACCCGTGATTAACTAATTATCACTGTAATTAAAGGGCAATAAACTGACTATGCTTACTAATAGATAAGGTGATACAGCTAAATGGGAGATTAATAATAAGTAGCTAACAATCCGGAATCTGACAATCAACTAATATAAATTCTCTACAACTCTCCCCCACTTAATATTTGACTCCGTTCAAATAAAAGAAAAAAAACTAACTTAAAAACTAAGCTAAGCGAAACATTGAAAAAATTGAAACTGAAAAACATACATGACAGATAACAATAAAATCAGCAATACATGTACTTCAACTTGACATAATAAATCAAATAAAAGTAATAAAAGATTTTACAAATACATGTACAATAAAATCAATAAACAAAAAGCATTAATAAAAAGAAATCCGATTGTTCATCTGTGAATAATGTAAACCAAACAATAAAGACATAATTGACAATAAAATTCATATTACACATTCACAGTTAAGCATAAATTCACATATTCACATTTAAGTCAGTAACAATAGATTTAATCCTTTAATTCGACAATTCTCACATTTTGATTACGAAAGTGTTCTGGCACTTCATTTAAAATGTCAGTCGCAAATCTCACGAGGTCCACTTCATCAGGATTCACAGTTTCTGAATGTGAGATTTCGGTATCCCGAACAATTTCCAAGTTACCATCACTATGATAGGTGGTTTTCTTTGTCATTTTTAGGATTATGGTTTCCGTCACTGTTGTTGAATTTGGCATCGATTCCGCAACGCTATTTTCCGAGTCACTAGATTCGTTGAGGTTTGAATGCACATCCTCACTGCCATTTAAAATGTCTTCTAAAAAACCGCATTTACCTTGGCGTTGTTTGTTGAGTTCAAAAGCTCATTTTCTAACTCGGATCCAATGGACGGCCAATCTTCGTCTTCACTAATTGGATCGTACTCTGTTGATGGACGTGGTGGCGAGTTGACAGGAGTAATGTCCTCATACATGGCGCTAATGAAAACTGCTTTCTTAGCCTCGTTTAGTTCCTCCTGCGACATCTTCTTCTTCTTACTAAGTTTTACTTCGTTTCCAGCATTTTTGTCAGAAAGTTTATGACAACTTTGTAAATGTCTTTTAAGGCTGAAATTTCTTGAAAATGGACGTTGGCAATACGAACAGTTCACAATTAGTTGGTCCAAATGGTTTTCTCTTATGTGTCGTTGTAAATTATCTTTTCTTATAATATTTCTTCCACAAATTTCGCACAGCATAGCATCTCAAAAGATTTTCTTAGAATGGTCACAACAAGTAGCGCTTTGGTAATTTTACTTCACGGCCCCTGCGTGTCAAGGTGGTGGTAAGCTGCGACTCCTGATCCACGTTCCTTTCATCCTTTTGAAGTTTGGTCGTTTCCGTATGGGGTATCGAGACACTTGGGTCGGTCTGGTCGGGGAGCGGCAGACTAGAAACGTCAGGGTCTTCTGGCTCAGCATCATAATTAACACCTGATAAAGTTTTACTGCTGTGGTATCGTTTAAGGTTGTCTGAGTGAATGATAACGGGTTTCGAATTTTCCGAGTGTTTAATCTGGTATAATACATCTGATAGTCTTTTTGTAACAATCCACGGTCCAGTCAATTTTCTAGCCAATTTTTGTTTCGTTCCTTCCACAATTTTCGGTTGACTACGGCGCACTAAGTCTCCAATTTCATACGTTATTTCTCGTATATTTCTGTCAAAATTTCGCTTCTGTCTCTCGGAATTAATTATGTTCCCCAAACGAAGTTTGGGAACATATTGTTTTTACTCTGTTTCTTATTATTATTATTATTATTATTATTATTATTCTTTTTAAGGTCTTCCGTCTTCACGGAAGACCTTATAGTTATTGCTCTGTTTCTTATTATTATTATTATTATTATTTTTCTGACACGATTTCTCGACAACTACTGGATAGAATTACATGAAATTTTCAGGAAAGATGTGTTGTAAGATATTCTTGAAAGTTCCAAGAAAGTTTTTGGAAATTCCTCTCTGGTGCCAAGTTCTGGACCATTTTCCTGATTTTAAAACGACATTTTGTCCTCGATTAAACTCAAAAACGGTAAAAGATATCAATGTGAAACTTTCAGAGTTTATAGATGATGATCAATGCTTTCCAGGACGCAACTTTTCGTTCGTCGTCAGTACTTCCTGTCGCTACCGGAAGCCAATTCAAAAAGTCCAAATTTTCAACTTTCTTTGTTTTTCAATATTTTTCATTTATTTTTGGAATATTAATAGAGACACTTCTATTGATGCTTACTATATAAGTTGTCTTAATATTGGTTAATCTGAACTCTAAATATTAATATTTGAAAATCTGAAGCGGGCCCAAGATGGCGGCTGTCTCTGTCAACTCCGACATTTCGCGAGTAGGGGCTTATGGAGGCAGCTGAGCGTTTGATTAAACCATTCTGACATAAGAATACATGAAATGCAAAAAACTACTTGGACTCTCACGTAGTAGTATGTTGCAATTCAGTGTCAATCTTAAATAACTTAATTTACGTTTCACTCCTTTAGTGTTACTGGGCTAGATACGATATGTAATGTGTACAATGTGTTAAATATACTTTCCTAACGCCGAAATAAAATAAAGGTGATAAGAATGTTTTATTTAATTAATTTCATTGAAGCTATTGCACCTCTTTAATAGATCAGTACAAAGAAAAGGTGCGAATATTTACGCGTGGCGTTTGACACGAAATTATGAATAGTGGCCCGACTTTTATGATTCTTAGACAGGTGTACTGTTGCAAAAGTATACACAAGTATATTTAAAGCAGTATTCCCAATAGCTAATTGGTTCGCGCGTTGGTTAGAAAAGAGAAAAAAGGCGCATTCACGTTGGCGACCTGGATTCACTCCTCCTTGTGATCAAAATTTTGAATCACTTTTTGGTTCGATTTTACAAGTTTTTTTTCCTGAATCGGACGGAAGACCTCTCGTTGCTCGCAACGAGATCGTATCTAGTTTCTTCTTATTTCTTCTCCGGTACTTTTTTGTCCGCGAGTGTTCTCAGAAACTGTTCACCCAACTGAGCTAAAACCGTTTTAGGGTTAATAGGTGTGTTGTGTAGGTGTGCGGAACGAAGGTCATTTTGCGCGCATACGCCTGCACGTGCGGGCGCGTGAAATGACTGAAATGACTAATATATTTAATATAGCCATAACTTTAACATTTTCCGATGAAATGCTTTGAAACTCATTATATAAGGATATATTAATAGTGTAGATAATGTGACACTGTCAAATT